AATAGCTAAAGTTAAAAAAAGTGTCTGTTTTCATGTACTGCTCCTCCTTGCTCCCTCTACGCTCTGAGTCCGTCAGCTACACTCTGCTGAGCCCACACTGTTAGACCCCACGTGGGCCAAGTCTGCTCTGATTGGTCTGCCGATCCGCTCTGTCGTTATTGGTCAGTTGCTCGGCACGGTTCTCGGAAATGTCCCGCCTCTTTTACCATATTGGGAATGCAGCCACTGGCTCCGTCCGAGGGGAGCATAAACATTAGCACCTTAGCACTACTGTGCTACCGCAGGCTATAGCATATCGTGGGCGTGCTACAGAAATTAACGGGCGTGCAACATGAGCTGCTGGGCTTGCCACAACGAGCCAATGGGCTTAGATCAGTGATCTCACACTGACAATGACGTCGGACTGACAATTCTTTTTCGAGGGGGGCTAGAACCGAGCGTTACATGTGGCTAATGCTGCAGCTAACAGGAGAAGCCGCGTTTCCGTGGACTTTGAATTTTTGCAAACACACACACACAAATTTTTGCCTAAACACGCACAGGACACTTGGAAAACACACGAAAGAGCATATAAAACCAGAAAAAGCATAATATGGGACCTTTAACTACCATACCTAGTCTGTACTGATAAAAACACCTGATAATTGATTAGATTTAAAGCTTATCAATAAAATCTTTGATTGCAAGACATCAAATCTTTTGCTTTAGCATTGTTGATTCCTCAGCTACAAACTAAAAAAAATATTTTTAGTTTACTAAGTACCTCCTGCTGAGTGTCCTCTGCTGTCCAACAGCTCTCGAGGAACTGAACTGTCAACCTTCTTCCCCTCCCTTCTCAACCTCCATTAGTCCTCATCAAAATCATCAGGGGGTCTTATTAGAGGACCACAACCCCATCTGCACCACTGTCACTTTGTGTAAGTAAAATACTCTCTGTTTGCCTCGTCCTATCTCACCCCACTGGGCCAGACTAATCAGGTAACTATAGAGAGCATTTGTTAGTGCTTTGTCATGTGGCTAGGTGCTGAACCAAGGTTAAAACTGCTGTATTCCCACCCTGCTGTGACCACGCTTTAAATGCGGCTGGGGTGAGCGGCAGTGATGGAGAGAAGGATGGGTTTGGGAGGAAAACAACATTGTGGGAAGGCCTGTGGGACACGTGGGAGGTTTTATTGGAGACAAGAAAGAACAAGGTGATCTACATATCCAAGTCATTCAAAGGGTTCTTTAAATGTGGAAAATAAGTTTGACAGTGAAAGTTTTTTGTCCCATATGAGGTGTCATTTTTAATTTGATTTTCGGTCTATGAATCTACAGGAAGAGAGACTTGCAGAGGAAGGAAATTGATTCCAAAAGATTGTCTTTGAAAGTAATTTATCCATGTTATCTCAGGATAATAACACAGGTTTTCCAGTGATAATTAGTTATTTATGTGTTTTAGAAAGACATACAGAAGATAGGTCTTGATCTTAACCATAAACTATAAATAAAAGGAAATGACTGGATGGATGCTTAGGGCTTCCACAGGACAACAATGGAGCTTTTCAGTACTACATCATGCTTTTTATACACAGGCAGTTCTTGTTAGTACAATTCTGCTTGGTTGTTTTGTCATTTATTGTAATCACAAGTGAATCAGGACATTCAACCTGGCTGACTTGTTTTTTTTTTTATTCATGACTGTCAAAGAAAGAAAGAGGAAAAAAAATCAGTTGCACAATGTCAAAGCCGAGGCATGATTCAGCTGGAGGCGCTCGGCGAAGTGCAGGAGGAGGGGGGAGGGGAGGAGGAGAAGGAAGAAGGAGGGACGGGCTGAAGGCTGGAATGGGGAGGTAAAGAGCCAGTGAACAAGAAAAGACATTTTTTAAGAAGACGAGCAGCAGGAGAGGAGGAGGAGGAGGAGGGAGAGAGGAAGAAAGAAAAGAAAATTGGAACTAGCCGCTAAAGCACGACTGTGTCCCTGTGGACGGCTGAGCGAGGAAGCGTGCGTGTGATGGAATGACATGTCAGCGCCGCATCTGCTCCGTTTACCACTCAGCTGGGTTGCCAAGACGACCAGCACATCCTCGCTCGCTGTGCTCGCCTTCTTCCTTCATGTGGTCCCTCCCTTCCTCCCTCCCCTCCCACGGTCCAACTCTGACTTACATAAAACCTCTTCTTTAAACGAAGGCAGAATTTGCTCTCAGGTTGAGTGCGTTGAAGTCTCCTTGAAAAATGTGATATTGGGGCGTCATCCCTCGCCATCTCGCTGTCTCTCTCTTTTCTCACACATGCCCACGCTCAAAATGTCTCCTGGCTTGTTTCCAGCTTTTCAATTCAGCTGCATGGTCAAATAACACCGTCAAGCATTCAGGAAGGATACAGGAAGTTGTTCGCTGAAAAAGAGCCTGCTTAGCATGTAGACACCATAGCAGGAGCGGCCTTACGCCCCGGCACCTCCATTCACATAACTCTCATCTCTGTGGAAGTGTGTGTTTACTGAACAGATGCTTCTGATATTAGTTTGTAAGCTCACATATTGGGACCGCCCTTCTTTTTTGGTTATATATTCATGTTATATTTTGACCAAAGCACAGCACAGATGTTTCATTTAGAGCACAGAGGACTGTTTGAAAGGGTAGGGATAAGGGATAAGGTGTGTGTTTGGGAAGGATAACTTGGTCATTGCTCTGTCATAATTTTATTAAAGCTGCTTTACTTCTGTCATTTTCACCACATTTGCAGCAGAGACTCTTTAACTAAGAGTCTCTGTGGTGTTCTTTGTTAAAAGTGAGTATCATGACTCCAGCGTGGAAGCAACATCTTTGATATGCATGAAAAAAAGATGAGAAAAAGAACGAGCACTGTTCCCTTCACGCTTGAAATACCTTCAGCAGTTTTGTATTTTCACTTCGTGCATGTTTCTGTCAGACATCTTGACAGGTCCACGGTCAAAAACATCATGGAGAGAAACAGAGCAAGACTTTCTTAACCAAACAGAGAAACGACGGAGATGAAACCTTTAGCTGAATCTGAGTAATAAAGTAACATGGAAATTGGTGAATATTCTTTTTAAACATTTGATAAAACAAAAGTATTCATTTTATTTTTCAGTTTTGGTCCTCATAGAATGGGTTTTTGCATCCGGAATAACGTGCAGACGACTGAAGAGGAGAAGATGCATTTCAAAGATTTATAAAAAAAAAAGAAAAAAAGAAAGAAAAAAAGCAGTTTGCAAACTTACCAAAAAGCACGTATGGACAAAAGTAACACAGGTAGCAAATCAAAATCTGTTTTATTGAAGAACTGGTAAAAGGAAAAAGGACAAGAACTACTCTTTGGAAATACAACCTCAGAAAAGTCATGACTGCGTTTGCCTCTATGCTAATCTTGTGGCGTCCTAGCCTTAGCTTTAAACTTAACCTGGCTTAATCTGCAGTCACTGCAGCAACAGGAAAAGTTAAATGGTCAAAAATGCATGACGTTTAAAGCCCCTGTGAGAAGTTAAACTGGTTATTAAGCAGAATTGAATTACTACTTACTTGATGATTTTATGTGACCTAACATCAGGGACAAGATTGACAATTTCTCTATGGTAATCTTTTAACACCTGTAACTGCTGTAATGGCATATGTGTCAGGTGAGACACTTAAAGAAACAGCCTCTTTTACATCCTCTACTACAAATATCATCAATCAGTGACACATTTGACTTAAATATACTGTATGTTAGGATGAGATTTTATGTCAGATAACACTAATTTAACATGAAGGAATGACGAGATAAGATGTACTAACTGTGCTTTGTTCACAGGGGGCGCCATCATTGGCACAAACAGAAAGTTCCAAACATGTAGACTGAATAATGTACACGCATTCTCTCACGTGTGACAGTGAATCAGCCTAATGTCCGCTCGTTAAGTAGTGAAATATACGTGCCATTTTACACGCCAAAGAGTGTGTAGACAAAGCCATCTGCCGCTGTCGTTTATGTCCCCCGGCGGACACCGTACTCTGCCAAACAGCTACAGAGGGAGTCTGGGACTCTGATGGCAGCTGTGTGTGTTTTTGTGCGTGTGTCACATATGTGCCCATAACGTTAGGGCGCACATGGATGCCCATATGCATTGTGTAAGATCTTATAAACACAAATAGCTTCTATGGCTTTGTGTGTGTGTGTTTTGTTTATGACAGTGAGTGTGTTTGAAGCTGGAAAACCCCTTGGGCTTCATTTTTTTGTTTATTTTTTTTCGAGACACACACAGTCCTGGCATTATCTCTTTTGAATACAGCCTCGGCCGCAACCTGCCAGCCATTCTTTAATCCTTCCTCACAACCCTGCAGTTGATAGCTTCACAAAAACACTAAAGATTTTATGTAACGTGCAACATGTTGGGAAGCCTTTGGAGATAAATATGAATTGACTCCGTGCTTAATTTATGTCGCACTTATCAAAGCAGACATTACAGTGTGTCACAAACCTTGAAATGTCCAACAATATGTACACTGTAACAATAGCAGGATACAATAATAATTAGATAATGTAATTGAATGTAAACTAAGAAAAAGAATCAGGAGATGACCCAAGAAAGCAGGACCTTTAGGGTCTGTGTAGAATTAACACACAGCTCAATCAAAACAATAAGAAAAGATGACGTCAAGACTGACAGGGAATCATGGGAGTTAGTCTCTCTGCTACTCCCCTCCCCCAATAAGAACAAACCGAGTTGACCATAATCAAGATGAACGGGCGAAACAGACCTGAGGAAGAGAATATTTTTACTGATGATGTATCCAAGTATAATTTACAAGATTTACAGACCAACCTAGAGGTGTATGATGATCAACCAACCAGACTGAAGAGGAACAAATGGGGTAGATTAAGGGCAGGCAGACATCTTGGTGCAACAGTTAAATAAACGACACTCTGTTACAACTTCATTCCTACTAAGAAGGTGGACCGTTCAGTAATATAACATCAATGATTCACCGTCTACTTTCTCCCTCTTCTGCCTCTTTTAGATGTAACGTCCAGGATTACATCTGGCACAAGGGTGCTCGCTGTGAGTCCGTGGTGACCGAGTTCCAGGTGATGTGTCTGGCCGTGGGCGCTTCGGCTCTGGTGGTCCTGCTGCTCTTCATGATCATCGTGTGCTTCGCCAAAAAGCTCCATGTGCTCAAGACGGAGAACAAGAAGCTGCGCAAACGCAGGTAAGGCTCCAGCAGGAGTCTGTGATAGCTTTTATATCTTCCCCTTTTCTTTGCTAATGGAGTGGGCCATCCTTTCTCAGCTAAGAGCCATGCTTAACTTCAATTCTCAGTGTTTTGGGGACTACAACATAGTGTCAGTGCAAACACAACCCTGGGAAATATATCAACTCTCATCTACTTCCAGGTGTCTCCTGTTCGTGCCATAATGCTACTGAGCGATTAGCATGTAGGGGCCAAGGCTAACTATAACGAAGGCAAACATTACCTGTTGTAGCTTCTCCCACCAGATGACAGTTCACTTTTTTTTGGGAAATATAGACATGCAATAATAAATCGATTTAAACAGGATAGTGCAGTCCACCATCCTTCCCTTCTCTCCTGCACGGATTTCCCTCCTCTCCCAATCAAGCCGGCGGTTCCTTCTTCGTCTTAGCCATTGGACATGTGACCAGTAAGGTCCGCCCCCTCTAGCTTGACAGCCATATAATGGACCTTATCAGGGACAGTGTTGCCGTAACACCTACATATACACTTCTTTTTAAAAAAAATCAGAAATGCTTACAAGAGGTTTTTTTTTAACAGATAAATTAGTATTTCTTCCAGCATGTTTCTGCTGATAAATATACAAAACTCTTTAAAGAGCTTCTTTTAGTGATTTGTCCTGTGAGCTCTAGGTTCTTCTTTGACTCTCGTTCCGTCAAATTTTGGACCAACTTTTTTAAAATCTTGGACCAAACCGACCAAAACTGGAACTGCTGAGATGGTAAAAGTTTTTACCTGATTGCTGCCAGAGTCTTATGATGGAGTCTTACTTTCTGTGAAGGAGATCTTATTTTACAAAAATGCGGCTCCTTTTAATGAAAGCTTGGTTATTTAAAAGTTGAGGGTTTGTTCACTCGGAACAATCAGGTCTTTGCAGTGTATTGACTGCAAACTTAAAAACTAATCACAACAGGACTATGACAGAAAGAAAAAAGGTCAAGCCTTTCTATGCTGGGGAAATGAGGCATTAGTCATCATTAAAAAAATTAAAAGAATGCTGGAAATGTTGAGATATTGAACAAAGAAAAGCAGCAGGATTTGTCCTTCACAGGATTTGAAATAAACATCCTGCAGATGCTTTTTTGTCCTCAGAAATGATTCTTTCACCAAAATAATTTCTTTCACAGCATGTATAACTCAGAATGATTGAGGTGATGCAGGGATCGAACCTTGGTTGAACCTGTTACTTTTAAGTGGCAGTGCAGTCATGCTAAGGCAGGAGATATTCTTGCTTTTAACTTGCATGCGTGCTTTGAGATAAGAATGAACATAATAGTGACTTAATAATTACGGCTGTCAGCATTAACTAGTTAATCGTGATTAATTTAGGTCTAAAATCTTTAGGTCCTTACTTTATTTCAAAATAAAAGCACAGTTGAATACAAATAGCAAGTTAAATACTCTCAGCTTGAGAGAGTACACAAATTCAAAATAAAAGCCTCACAGTCATTTTATTAAATGTGAAATAATGGAATTTCAAACATGCAATTAATCGAGATTATTAAAGAAAATAAGCGATAATCACGATTTATTTTTAATCCTGAACCCAGGCCGCCTTCCAAGAGGACTACAGCCTCCGTACATGCTGGGACCTAACCCATCCGGCGCCCCTTGCTTAGTTTTACCTTTATACAAACGTAGAAAGATGTATTTCCATGATCTTAGTGTCCCTGCTACCCTCGGATCAATTAAGTGGATTTTTTTTAACCCATTTTTAATTAACATGAACCAAATTCATACACAGATACAGATAAATGTAGACGACTGTAAATGTGAAGTTTGAGTTAAAGACGGCGTACAGGATATGAAGTAAATGAAGAAATGCATAGAGGAGGAGGAAAAGGTAGAACAGGAGGTTTCTTTTGGAGGATGAGGAGGGTGTGTGAGACAGAAGAAGAGAGGGTGGGGGATGGGCGACAGAAAAGGAAGAGAGAGACAAGGACAGTCTGCGGGAGGAGGAGGGGAGAGGATAGATCAGCTGAAAGAGGAGGAGAACAAGTGAGGAAGACAATGAAGGTATGCAGGAGGAAACGGAGAAGGAAAAGGAGGGGAGCTGATGGTGAGCAGCCGGCAGAAGACCAGTTGACAGATAAAAATGAGGGAGGAGGCGGGAGAAGGAGAAGCTGGCGTAAAGCGTAAGAAAAGAGTTCTGTAGGGTTTGAGAGGTATTTTATGTAGAGTTACCTTGCTCTGAAAACATGATCAAAATCATTAAGTTTGCAAGTAGTGGGAAGCAGAGAAAACAAGGAAAAAGAGACGACATTGGTGTAAATGATTTGCATTTATTCAGCTCCCAATCATTATAAAACGACAAAGTAATCATAGCATGGAAGGGGAGGCAGGACAGGGGATCAGCTTAGGATGTGCAATCTCGCACATGCAGTTTAAATGATAAATGCATGAAACATACACTCAATGGTGGAGAGGTAACAATAGTCAATGTACTTAAACATCGATACAAGTATGGACAACTTAAATCTATTTGACAAAAATACAAACTGCAATAAATCTGCAATGTTCCCCGCATGTCATTCCCCACTCCTTCTCTCCTGACGACCTATTCTAACCACTGTCCTATCAGATAAAAGCCCACGGATAAATCGCAAAAAGGATAGTATCATGAACCCATTATCGTGATATGTATTGTATCAGGAGCTGATCAGTTCGTTGTAGCAATAAGGAGGATGATTATGCTAAGTGCACGATTGAAGCCCCACGTTTGGCCCCGCCCCCCCAAAAAAACTAACCTAAAAGAGAACTAACAGTCCAAACTTCATAATTCAACAGACTTCTCGCTCTTGTGTTTCCAGACCAATTTCAGATTTTGCTTTGCACGCTCTTTAAATAAAGTCTGGTTGTTTCCCTTTATAAATAAAGGTTATTATACGTCAAAAAGGAGAGAAAAGGTGTCAAACCATCACAAGAGTTACTACTTGTAAAGCTTTATTCACATTATTCATGAGTGAATCATTGCCGACACGTTTTAGCCAAACCACCTTCTTCTACTTAAGTACAGATTTGCATTTTTAACGATCTGCATTCAATTTAGATTCTTCTTTTAAAAGCAATTTTTGTAATTTCCTGGAAATAAAAGCAAATATTAAAATAAGTTTAAGAAAATATCGCCTTTAAATTCATCACCAGGTCTTTTTTGACTCTCTTCTCTTTTTCCTTTTCTTTATGAAATATAAACTAAAGTTCATGCCTTGGGCTTCAGAATAAAAACAAAGATTCTGATTCATGCTGTCACTTTCACCTCTGGACATACGAGCACGATTTGGATTACATTCAGAAACATTCATGTGTGTGATAAAATGTTGTAATTCCTGTGAATGTAGCTCAGAACCCTTACACGGAGAGAAAACGACCATCAGAGGATGCCGGACTGAATTCAAAGCGAAGGAGAGAACCAGAGTGACAGACGGATTGAAGGATTGAATATAAAGAGGAGTGGAGGCTGGCAGCAGGGTGGAGGATGGAGGGTGGGTGGGTGGGGGTCGGTTTGGCTTAGCTTTGCCAGCGCCTGTGTTTTAGCGACCGTCTCCCTAGCAACAGAGCTGTCCTGGATGAGAGCAGCAGCAGCCGGGCGATCGAGCGATGAGGATGCAAATGTGAACCGAAGCACCAAATCCTCAACACCAGATCCCACGCTTACGGGTCTATTTTTACCTCAAACACGGACGGTTAGCATGCTAGTCATGGACGGGGGAGATTATGGATGATGAAGATGAGGGTGAGGAGGAGAAGTGGCGCACTCAGTCGCCAGCCGAGCTAGCAGAAATAAAAAAAAAAAATTGCAGAAAATGGTGATGTCACTGGTACTCTGCATCCAGCTGAAAGTAGGGCAGTCTGAACAGGAGGGGGGAGGGGGGGGAGGGAGGAACAGGGGGAGGCGGGGTTGACCTACATACAGCTGTGCGACCTGAGGGGTGTGTGTGTGTGTGTGTGTGTGTGTGTGTGTGTGTGTGTGTGTGTGTGTGTGTGTGTGTGTGTGTGTGTGTGTGTGCGCGTGCGCAGAGCGTCGGGGTGCAGCACGAAAGAGACAACACAGCCTCATCAAGTGGTCGGCTGAAAGAAATCGAAGCGGAGGAGGAGAGAAGGAGGAGGAGGAGAGGAAAGATAAGAGGAGTTAAAAAAGGAGGGCAGGATGAAACAGGGGGAGGAGGGGGCGGGAGTGAGGGAGAAACTGTTGCAGGGGAGGAGTGAAAGAGAAAGTGAAAGAGGGAGCAAGAGAGGATGGTCAAAGTGAAAAAAGCTCAGTGTGACACATTCAGGGGAACGTGTGAGTGTGTGTGCACACTGCTGACAAGGCTCATGAATATATGCGACTCCCACACACCCCCATCTGCTCTGGGTAATTGCAGTCGCAGTGTTTCTCTGCAGCAGTCGAGATCAGAAAGAAGAAAGAGAGAACGAAGAAAAAAAGAAGAGTAAAAAAGAAAGATGAATTATGTGCATCCCTGTCAGAAGACGTTAGAGGTTACTGGCTCCACCTGTCCGTCAAAGTAATGTCACTTTGGTATTCTCCTCCAGGTAAATGTTGAACCGTTCAATCTGTTACGACTCTGCACGAGCGGAAAGACGAGGCATGAAGGAGCAAGCTGGCCACAAATATAAACAAATAGCCGAGCATCAGTTTGATCGTTTCTCTGCTTTGCAAAGTCTGGGGACGAAAGTACTGCGTCAGACGTGGGTCAAAGTTTAGCCTCTTTGTGTAACTAAATCTGATGGTCAAAAATGAAATGTGAATCACAATTTGTTGCATCACAGATAAAATGTTTGACTCCTGCTGTCTAATTAATGCTGCTTTCTTGCTTTTTTTCTCCCCACTCCTTTTTTCCCGTCTGTCTGTCTGTCTGTCGTTTCTTGGACAATAATCTTTTTCCTGAATGTCTTTTTCCCTCTTTCATGCACCTTCCCTTCCCTCCCCCCTTTTTTTTTTTGTTCCTCTTTGTTTCACCTTGTCTACGTCGGTTTGTCTTCCTCTCACCTTGTGGATCATTACCTGTAAACGTCGCTCCCCCCCTCCCTCCTCTCTCGATCTCCTTTTCCCCTTCTCCTGAATTCTTTTTAAATCCTTAAACCGTCCTGTACTTTTAATTATCTTTCCAATCCTCTTTTTTTTTTTTTATCTGGAACCCCAATTTCGCTGCTTTTACTCTCTTAAACCCTCCTCTCTTTTTTTCCCTCCTTGGCCTCTCTCTCCTAAATGACCTTCCCTCTTCTCTTTCCTTACACTTTCATCGCCCACCTCCTCTCTCTATATTTCCTTATTCTCTTCTTCCCTTCTTAAAACACATTTTCAAACCCTTCTCCTCCTCCCTCCTTCTCTTCCTTTTCATAATATCTTTTAAAACCTTCCCTTGTTTTTTCATAAAATCTCTTAATTTCTGTCCTCTCTGATGCCTCCTAACCAACTCTTTTTCCTTGTCTGCAACTCTTTCACCATATATTTCGCCCCCCTCACCATATTTGTTTTCTCCCCTCTCCCCCTCCCCCCTCCCTCCATCTTCCGACCACCAGCAGTAAGTACCGGCCAACATCGGAGACGCACAATGATAATTTCTCGCTGTCCACCATCGCTGAGGGCTCCCACCCAAATGTAAGGAAACTGTGCGACACCCCTCCTAACGTCCCTCATGCCCGTGCATTGGCTTACTATGATAACATTATCTGTCAGGTAACGTGGTTCTCAACCTCTCTCTCACCCCTTTTTCTGCATCTCCCCCGCAAACCCTGCCCGGGCCCTCTGACTCCCTCCCCCTCCCCCTCCCCTAATGCATGGGCATGAGTGTCCTCCGATACTCTGAGGTGTGCTTTACGATAAAGAGGTCGGTGGGAGGGGCCGGAGTGTGCGGAGGAATGGCGGGAGTTTTCCTAATGAATGCAAGGGGCTGACAAAGAATGCAATTTGATGCATGTAAGTCGGTCATACAGCTCATAGCGACAGGAAGTCCCGCCCCTTTGTAATGATCCGGATCATTTTAATGAAGCTGGCTTTTGTTAGCTCACACGGCTCTTCATTTGGTCCCAATTTGACTTAAACCAGCCAAATGTTTCCAATGTATGATTCAGGTTACATTGCAAACAATATGGCTACCCGTTTTGATACCACGGCAACAACAAACACACAAGTCCAAGCTACACAATATTTGGAAATGTCTTCTGCTTTTAATCACAGAGCAAACTCCTGGACACTCCGATGCATACGTGCATTTTAAACCATGTCCCCTCCTCTTCTCTACTTATCTTTGTAAAGAACTTTAACACCTAAAGAACTTGTAACACGCTGCTCTCCTTTTGACTTTGAATCTGTAGCTGTGTATAAAGCGTGGACATTTTGATAATTCAAAGAAAACTGTAAAAAGAGAAAGTGGTATCTGGAAATTTGACAACCTTAAGCACATAAAGATCTGAGTACACACGTTTAAGAATCCATATGTAACGAGGATCGTGAAGTAAATGGATTTGAATGAGCTCTTTCTCTTATTTAGGAAATAATAACGACGTGAAGAGGGAACAGGTGCATGTAGTATAGTGAATAGAAAATGGCAAAAGTAGAATAATCGATACCCAGGGACATGAGACCAAATATGTAGAGTAACATCTCAAAGCGTGCACATTCAGGTTGTTCTTATGGCAACAACTCGGCTGTCAAGTCTAAAGAGTTTCATCCTGTTTATTGATTCAGTTCTCCTGGTTTATTGCTTATCGATCCGACACACACGCAAGAAAATGTCAGATAAAAATAGTTGAGGTGTTATATTGGCTGCTGGAGCAACATCGACTTTAGTTTGACACATTTTTGCAGAGAGAATCTGTTCCAAGTCTTCTCTTGATATTTAAGGCGCATCACAGTCAGCGCTCTGCTTTATTTTGACTGAACATTGTCCCCGCTGCACGCTGCACGCTGACACAGAGCAGATGCAGCATTAACGCAGCCAAGGTCAGAGGTTAAACTCCCCCTGAAACCATGCAGACTGAACATTAATGCACTCGCCTCTCACAGTGCGGCCGGCGACAGCAGCAAGCTCAACCCTGACCCCTTTAAGAGAAAACTCCCACAATCCCTCGCTCTGACCGCTGCCCAACCTGCCTCTTTCTAACCTGCTCTCTCTTTAATCACCGCTTGCATCGGTATGTCATGGCATTTCTGTAATGCCGCTGACATGCGCCACCTGGTGGTCATGTTGGCCACTGCAGCTTTGCTTATATGTTTACAAAACTGTACCAGAATGTTTGTTTATCCTGAAAAAACGGGGCGGGGAGAGTGTTATGATTCATGGTTGTTGTTTTTTTTCTGTGGGGAGGTTGTGGGAGGATCCCAAACAGGTAAGGTAAATGTGCGGGATGACTTGGGAGAAATGGTCGGGATATCAGGATAAACATCTGAGATGCAACGCCTCGTGCTGCCTGCAGGAGGCAGCAGAGAGCCAACAGTCACTAACCTGAGCATGTGTAGCTATAGTGGCTACGCTAACGTTGTAGCAGCATGGGTAGTTCTTGTGCTACAACTGAGGTAGAGTTTGTTTTGTTTCTGTTCTGTGAAGGTGTGGTACCACCCTCTAACTACTCCATCAGTAGTTCTGTTCACTTGTAAGGCTACAGCAGCTTAGATGTCTCTTTACAGTAGAAGAAACATGGACCCTTTAATATCACCCAAATACATTTTGTCATCGCCCTAAAAGAAAATAAACCTCTAAAAAGTATCATAAAAAACATCCATCATCCCCTCTTAACCACATCTCTTAAAATGGTCACTTTCTAACTCAACACCACCAACGTATCATAACCCCCCCAATCATCACTCATCCTCTGGACTGAAGAGTTGTTGTAAACGCTTTAAATGGTTTGTTTTTTTTGCAAGTGCAGTTTGGTTTTTCACCACAACCATGAAGCAGTGCTGCGATAGACACGTGTTTGTTTCGTGCACTTGGTTCCAAAATGCGGCCGCCAAGCAGTAAAAACACATTTATTCAGCTGTAATTTGATAATCCACTGGTGGTCAGTTGGTTGCAATCAGGTTCAGGTTTATTCATTTTTACCTGTAGGTAAATTTGGTTGCAAGGAGAGTAGCACAGACAATTCATAAAATACTGACAACCTCTCTTGGCATCAAGTGCATGTTCCAAATGCAGCATGTCTGCCCTCTTTTCTAACTTAAAGCAAACAGAAGACTATTCCAACTACTGTTCAGTCCAGATCTATTTTCTAACACGTTCCAGCCACATTCAAAACTCACTTTGCCGTAAACAACAGACCTCCTGAAACCAAAAACCATACCATCTCTTTTCCCCTGAAACAAACCCACTAATACAGCAAACAACCTCGGTTCCCTTCCCGACCCGGAGTCACGACTGGTGGAGAACCGTCACCAGAAATAACCAAACCTTCATTAACTTTGGTAACACAGAATCATATCGGTGCACAACCAGAGCGGCTGTGTTTGAAGCCGAGCTGTGAGTTACAGCTGACGTCTGAAAGGAAGTTACTCTCTGTCTCCAACACTCGATCTCGATCTCTCTCTCTCTCTGTTTTATCTGTCTGCTTCTTTTTCGTCTTCTTTCTCTCTCCGACCTCCTTCTAGATCTTCATGTATCGTCTCTTATCTATCGCTGTTCCTCCTTTTTTTTTTATCTGTCCTCTCTGATCTTCTTCTTTCTCATCAGTCTCTGTCTCTCTCTCTCTCTCTCTCTCTCTCTCTCTCTCTCTGAGGATGCCTTGTTTGGTTTATTTTGAGGAGTATAACCCTTTGCCCCATCCCCCTCCCCTCAGAAAACCATGAGCAGATACACCTGGGAGTGTAAGACCAAAGAGGAGTCCGACTGTGAGGTAAGACCAAAATCCCCAAATGTCAGATAGTCCCCCCCACCCCCCACCAAGCCCCCACCCCCCTTCTCTCTCACCTTCCCAGACAGCTCTCTCATTGTTACTGTGGCCCTGTCAATCACCCTCTCTCTCTCTCTCTACTTGTCACTGGATCGATCCGAGTCTCGACCCCTCCCTCCAAAACTGAAATTAAATGTTGGATAAAACACGACGAGAGAAAGAGTTTAAATACCAAACATCACCTGTTAATGGACTTAAGCATAACCCCGTTTCTTCATTAGCGTGCAGACAAACACCAGGATGGATTATAACGGATTCTGGTTTCAGTTATTCTTGAAAACATGGACCCCATATCTCCCTATCCAGACTGCTGACTTACCCAGCTTGTCTTCAGTGGCTCGGGGCGAGACTGAATCAGTGACACAGCAAGCTGCAATTTTCAGATTTTTTAGTTCCCCCTCCTCAGGATTACAACCAAAAAACAAGAAAGATAAAATAATAAAGTGGTCATCTCTTAACTACCCGGGGACTCAGTAGTCGGGGACTCAATAGTCGGGGACTCAGTAGTCGGTAGACATCATGTCAAACAAAACCCAAAAAGCTGCTAAAATTAAAAAGACGTCACACCTCATTGGACGCTCTATCACGGCAAGACCCCCCGTTTGTTACACCCCACCCTAAAGTCAGAGATACACTGTACGATATAAGCCCAATCGCTCGTCTTGTTCAGTGCCGTGAACAGGGAGGGCACGAGGGCCAATCAGGACTCGGCCTGCTGCTCCTGACCGGTCAGAAACATTTCTCGCACGTTGTAAACTTTGGTCAGTGTTTGGATTTGAGCCGTGCATTTAAGACAACTGAAACACACGCAGATCTGATTTTTTTTAAAGGCGGATAAATAAATGTTTGAAAATAAAATAAATGAGGTCACTTTGACCTCTGAAGCACGCTCTCGCTCTCTCTGCTGCAGGCGTCAGGGACCGGAGGCGACATTAGCGGCAGCTTACATAACACTCCTCTGCTCACACTCCTACTCCTGACAGAGCAGTGGAGTACTTTTTCAGTACGACATTCACTCGCCCACTTAGGCATGGAAAATGTAAGAGATGGGGGGAGGGGGAAGCATCACAAAGCGAACTGCATTATAAAGCTCAGCTGAAGCTCATGTCACTGTCCCGATCTGAATGATCAACCGGGCGTGGACTGAAGTGCATTATGCAAATACGTCAAGGGAGGGCCGAGATTTTAGCTTAATTTTTGCTAGTTTATATTTTAATCTTAAGTGTGTCGAAAGTTTGCAGTTTTAAAAATAAGGGGCAACTAATCCTGTTGCTTTGTTTTAGCTGGAGAAGTAACTTCCATGCATGTTTTATCGGTCATTAGCAACAGCTGTATCGTGCAGTGTGCGATGCATTTATGAATCCACTCGTAAGAAAGACTGGACCCGACCTTCAGTGTGATGTTCATAGGAAAGTATTTATTTTATATTCTTTGCAAATTTACCATCCTTATGAACAGTGGTTCTCAGGACCCTCCACCTTCCTCTGGGAAGTCTCGACCGAAATTTCAGATATTTTTCTGCCAATCAGATTTATTCACTTGTGTGCAGTTTGAACCTCAGTCTGTACAAAAGATTTTGACAGAATTAAGAAACTGATTTTAAAAACATGTTTAAAAAAACGCTACCTTATTTAACACGTTTTTTTCAAGGGCACACATCTGCGACCCACCTTTGGGTCCCGACCCACCAGTTGAGAACCACTTCCATACAGGATGTGTGAAATCCCTCGTTCACACATCATAAATAGAAAGTTCCTGGAGGTCAAAACAAAACCAACTCAGAAACGGTGCTCCTGCAGCGAGTCACTGTTGACCTTGAGAGGACTTTGATGTCCAGATATAAAAAAAAAAAAAGAATTAACGGACAAATTAAAGCGAAAATGCAGACACACACAGAGCAAATATTCGCGTCTACATTCTATTTTACGAGCAGCACACACACATGCCCGTCATATCTGAACAAAAACACACTCAGGTGAATGTCTCGGTGCAGCTACAGGACGCTTTGTGCATCATTCACCGTGCAGCCTGAACCCTAGTGTCCTCAATCCTCCCTTCGGTCGTTTAACAGAGTCCAGACACAGTTTGATTTGCAGAAAACGCTCAGATCAAATTTTTTATTTTTTTTTGTCAATACTAAACAAATTCGACACGGTAAATGAATTGACCGGCCAGACCTGACCGTAATTTATCAGAAAATGTAATTTCCATCGACTGAGTGTGCGCTCAAGCCGGCGGATGAGATTTGAGCCGACCTTAAAAAAAAGTCCACAGGGGCGTCGGTGGCGCAGTGGTTAGTCCGCGCACCCCATGTATGGAGGTCTATAGTCTTCCAAGCAGGCGGCCCAGGTTCGAGTCCAGCTTGTGGCTCCTTTCCCGCATGTCATTCCCCTCTCTATCTCCCTGACTTTAGACTCTATCCACAGTCCTATCTCTACAATAAAGGCACAAAAATAAATCTTTAAAAAAAAGGTCCACACTCTGCAGCAGAGATGTTAAAAAAGAGAGAGCATCAATTTTCCCGTTAAAACTGTGAACAGCTCCTCTCGCCTTCATATTCCTCTGCACTGCACACAAACACACAATCAGACCTGTGCAAACACAAATATGTGCTCAGGGAAAAAGAGCCAGTCGGTAAACACAAGCAAAAGCTCGAACACTAACGCACGCACACGAGTCTTGGAGAGAGCAGCACAGGAAATGTATTCTTTACACTGGACATAAATACCAACGCAAATATTCAACATATTAAGGCGCCAAGCATGACAACGAGCAGACTCACTGACTGTCAAACCACATCGATTTAAACCCCCTACATCATCTGCAGTGAAAGAGCTGGATCACTGCACCGGGTTTGACCCAGCTCTGCATGAGTTCCAAGCGTTGCCTATTTGAACCTGAGTTCTTAACTTGCAACAGTTTGCGCTCAACTAACATTTAACTGCAAATGTCCAAAAATACTCCGTGCTCGCCACAATAACCCAGCATTTGCTCCCTTTCTTGTCGATGCTTGTATTTCCACAGCACGAGCTGCACATCTCATTTTAAATATACATAAACACTAAGTTTGATTACATAAACACTTTAGGTATGTCCCCCACTGTCTGCATTAATGTGACCTTATAACCATATTACACATGTCCAATGCAGAAGACGCACACACACTGACGGCCCGTGTGTGTGCGGGTCAGACCAGCGACAAACAAACAAACAAACAAACAAACAAACAAACTTCTTTTAGCTAACTATTTGAAGAGTTACTGAACTCTCCTGATCACAATAATCCACCAAACTGAGTCCCAACGATTTAAATCCAGAGAAAGATTTTATCCAAACATGTTCGATCCATAACGATCCACAAAACTGCTCAAAAAACTTCCACTGACCTTTTGATGACACTTCACAACAGCCAATGAGAGCTCCCCCCTGTTCTGGCCGCTAATTGCACGCTCCTGTGTTGATGATTGACTTCTCTTATGTCCAATCAAATCCTCTGAACATGGATCTGCTGCTTCTATCTATACTTCGGGATGATTTCTTCATGCTCACACTGAGGAGAGTGATTTAAAATACGAGTACCAAGAGAGGCTCTCTGAGTCATGACACATTTGGAGAAAACAGACAAATCTATGTAAAATCAGACATTAAACACCCCCATAGAGCTGGAATGGAACGATCCTTGTGCTTGGCTGTGAGACTGGCCGTCGAGTACTCGGCTACACGGGGTCACCCCTACAACACATTTGGTCATTTCTGTGCACCAGGTAAAGATGACAGTGACAATCTTTATTTCCCATAAACACCATCAATGCTTGCAGAGTAGGATGTGTATTTAACTCGACTAAAAGTCACTCGGTGGGGGGGATTTTCATCTTTCCTACTTTCTTATAGTGGTAGTGCCTGGTAGGGCGTGGTCTCAGTGCATTCAACTGGACACGCCCGCAGCATCCTGGAGAAGTGATAAGCGGTTAAAAGTTAACCTAAACAGTTTCTTTAATCACAATAACAAATGTACATGTAGAGGTTTACGACTTAAAGGCTTCTGATGTGACCCTGAAACATGTTGTTGCACCTCACCCCTTCATACGCCCGCTCCAACACAAAAGGACATCAGGAACAGTCTGTGTGCCTCCATCATCATCATCATCTTCATCAGAATCCTGTTTATCTCTGTTCCCGCTTCCACCCCCCCCAAAAAAATGACACCCGCTCTAAAGTCCTTGTGACTCCGTGCCTCCCACCCACTGCCCACCCAACACCCCCCCTGCTCCACAAGTGAACCACAGTGATATCCAACAAACAAAAACTTTTCCCAGTTTCACGCTGACGGGAGGACAGAGGGCCCCTACCCCGTTACCATGGAAGTGACGTATCCACACGTCCTGCCTGAAGTTACTATCTAGGCCAGCAGCCAGCGGGTAAATGCTCTCACTGCTCTTACTTTCTAAAAAAAAAAAAAGTTCCATTGATTCAAACATCCACTTAGGGTGTGTTTTTAAATGGCATCAGCCTCCGGATCAGGAGTATGATGTGTGTGCGTGTGTGTGTGTGTGTGTGTGTGTAACAAAGAGAGGCAGACGGACGCCCCGGGTAGCCAGGGTTCAGCAGGGTCGATGATGCCATGCAGTATTAATGGGGGATAAGAGGCTGGAAAAACAGAGCTAAAATGGACTCCGCAATCAATTTATTCTGACCTTAATTAAGTTCACATGAATTGAATTAAAACCTTTAAAACACGTTGACGTTTTCTACCCCCCCCCCCCCCCTCCCTCCCTAGCGACTGCTTGGGTATGTATGACGGTGGTACCCACAGATTAAAGGTCGGGGCGGAGACTTTGATCTGCCTGTTTTGTTTAATTTTGTGACATTAGATGCAAAGTGGAGGTGAAGCAGGAGGTGATTCTGCATGAGCGATTATTACTCTGGGTGCATATTTTAAAGCTCTTCTTGCATGTGGATGTGCATGTGCTCCCTGTGTTGCCTGAAAGGAGGAGGGGGGGTGGGGGTTAGTGTCGCTCATGCAGCTCACCTCACCGCCTGCTGAACCAAACACAACATGCCAGCAGAGCATGATGACGATCAGGCAGCGGAGCCTCCTGAAATGGCCGCTGCAGAGACCGGCTTCCTTTAAAGTAGCAAAACAAAAGCTGCACTTTATCTTGTTTTGAACATTTGATGGTATTTTCCTGCATTTGGGAAGTCTCTAAAGAATCTAACATTGTGATTTAAAAGGATTAGCCCTTTTCTTTCAGAGCAAATGTGCAAAGCTGAATGTTTTATTTTTTGCTTAAACATCGCTTTTGATCATTTCTGTACGATGTGATCTCCTGACTCTTAAAGTTTAAGCAGAAAACGTCCAATCAATCGGACGGTTTAAGAGTCACAACGTACAGAAATGAAGGAAAATCGAGAGCTGCTCTGTAAAAGTCTGACGCCATAAAGCGAGCCTTAAGGAAAGGTCAGAAAAAAGAGCGTCCTGACGGTTTGTAGTGAAGGTGCGGTTCTTTAAAGCATGAAGGTGAAACTCAATCAGAGTGCATGGATCCAAAGAGAAACTCAAAGCTCCTCACTTTTTAAAAGCTGAGAGTCCATCTTTGTTTCTTCAATGCAATCGGCAGACTGGAACATCAATATTGGATGGTTCTGCAAAGCACCAGATAAAATTGGCAGGAAGGCCCGTCCCCTTACTCGCTTGACAGCCATGCAGTACAACCAATCAGGGACAGTGTTGCCGTAGCAGTAACATCATGTAAACATACTGATAGACTACTTCCTAAATTGGCACTTAATGTTGATATTGGACAAACTGTAGATGGGACGTGAGGTGCAAAATTGTCCAATATGGTTGTATTTTCTCGCCTAAAACACAGATGAATACGTCTTTGAAGTCATCTAGGTCTTATGTCTCAGTTAGATTTTGGATAAAGAGCTCTAAAAGAATAAAAAAAAATCACAACTTCATCCAATTGGCCGGCTCTAAATCACTCTAAGTCATGACACTGTGAACTCTTGTGGTGGTTCTAACTGTACTCTCTGCTCCCTACCCTCCACACCCCCCCCCCCTCCCCCCCCTCCCGGGTAGGATGATCCTAACTCCCAGAACAAGCTGGAGGACCCGGTGAAGGCCTCGCCCAAGGAGGACGACTCCCTCAACATCCACAACTCTCTGACCCCCAAACACGAGAACCACAAGGTCCTGGGCGAGGAGAACTCCTCGGAGGTAAACTCACTGCAGAACAACATGATGTGAAAACACAAAACAAAAAACGACCCCAGCAACCCCCGGCAACACGACAACGGAAAAAAACGTCAAGGTGCGCCGGCAACAGAAGCCCCCTCGAAACCCCTCCCCCCCCCCCCTGCTCTCTGCTGTTTCGCTGCCGAGTGCGCCTAACCGGTCAACCAACAACCAACAAACCAGCCTGTCAACAAACCAGCCAACCAACCCAGTCTGCAACCGTCTCCGACACGGCAACACTGCCACCGAGCGGCCTCTACCGCTGCAAAAAAACGTACACCACCACCACTACCACCGCCGCCGCCACCACTGCCCCAGCTGAGAGTAACACCCTCCACAAGCCTCACCCTGCCGCCGCCCTGCAAACCCCTCCCCTTTCCCCTCTTTAACATCCAATCACATCCCTGTTTCGCAGCCCCGCCCCCTTGTTGCTGTCACTCTACTCTCCCTTATCTCTCTTCCTTGCACACACACACACACACACACACACACACACACACACACACACACACACACACACATAAGAAGCATACACATACAGTGAAAAGAAGAAGACATGAACACGCTTATATGTACACACACACACACACACACACACACACCTTCCCCTGCCTGCATTGGTGTATTTTGTAAAAAGAAAGAAATCATTACAGAAGTTTAAAATGTACGTAAAACGTCATTGTAAAAAAAAAAAAAATAAGATAAAGCTACTGAAAGGTTTTGATGTTTGTCTGACTAATCCAGTGAGTATGTATAAATATTGGAGAAAAAAATTTGCTTGGATTGATTTAAAAAAAAAAAAAGAAGAAGAAGCAACACAATGTGTCTTGGTTTTCATTGATGTGATTTCTAATCCTTTGATGTACTTGTTTTTTGTTCTTTTTTTGTACTTTTTTGGGACTTCGAACAGAGAATAAAAACAAAACAAGATTCAGACAGTTGTTGAAATAAACCTTTTTAACATGATCTCTGTGGATCCTGCGTTTTCCTCTTGTGTCGTGTCCCCTTCCTTTTTAACCCTGAACAAAACAAAAACACCGTCTGCATGGCTTCTAACACAAGCTTCTTAGATGTTTGTCATAGACGTGCTGCCCTGCTTACATCACATAAACACAGGTTCAAGTATATTCTGAACACTGCTCCTACATTACAAAGTCAGTTATTATAGAATCTGTTACCACAGCAGCAATGAAGAGTTTGAAGAGATTCTTAAGGTCCTGACACACCAAGGAGACCGTCGGTGAGCGGTCGTCCCCCTAGTTTTTTTAAGATGTATTTTTTGGGCTTTTTGTGCCTTTAATCGAGAGATAGGACAGTGGATAGAGTCAGAAATAGAGAGAGAGAGAGAGAGAGTGGGGAACGACATGTGTGAAAGGAGCCACAGGTCGGATTCGAACCTGTGCCGCCCGCCTGGAGGAATACAACCTCCATACTTGGAGGCGTGAGCACTAACCACCGCGCCACCAGCGCCCCGATCATTGTCCTAGGTTTTGCAGTGTGTCCAACTCCGTCGGTACCCGTCGGCCCCAGCTGGCCTTTTTTTTGCCCAATTAGAAGTATCTATATTACGAGTGTTGAGCGACAGCAGTGAGAAACTTGTCTTCTCGTATCATAACATCGGTTTATTTATCCGCGTTCTTTCTCGTCCTCTTCCAATTTCCCCTTTTTGGAACGACTATTACAGACTAACGTTGCCTGCTGGCATGGAGAGTTATTGCATGTGCGTGGCCGTCGGCTGTAGTCTTTGCGGTGTGTTCAAGTGCAACTTTTTGGCCAAGACAAAAGGCGTCGCCCGCCGATGTCACAGGCGGCCTTCGTTGCCACTCGTTCTTTGCCGTCTGCTTGGTGTGTCAGGGCCTTAAGGCTATAGTGCGCCACAAGAATGAGTCCTGAAGCCCGGAAGTAAGTTAGCATTTGAGCGCCATGGGGACTATCCTCTCAAAGTCAATGGGCATTATGAAGGGGTTTTTGCTTAGACGCCTGATATAGGGCCTGTGGTTAACACAAGCTTCAGAGATGTTGGCGTTTTGTTAGACGACATAAACTGCGTTAGGTAATAGATAGATAGATAGGAACTTTATTAATCCCTTGGGAAGGTTCCCTCAGGAAATTCAGATTTAATACCCCCACTTGTGAATTTGAGATATAAATTATATATAAATGACTTATGTTCATCCAGAATATATTGACGGTTGTTTGACTCAATGTGGACATCTGCTAGCATAAATCATGAATCTGCTTCTGCATGTTTCTTCCTCCTGAGAGGCCTCCCTTCCTTCCAGCTGGACGCACGTCACAGACGCAGAAATGCACATAAAGGAAAATAAGAAGAAACCTGCTTAGTGCACATACGAGGAGTGAAACATACACGTCTTCTTCAGCTGTACAACCAAAACACGCGTGCAAAAACATGCATGCCTTAGAGTCCTATGAAGTGGTTTACTGGACATTACATAACTCTTTTAAGGTAGTTGAACTTGTTGGTTGACACATCGAGTGATCAATGATCAAGTGAAACTTCCGCTGCACAAACAGGTGAGTGAGACGTTCAAATCAAGGGTTGAAATTCAAAGGATCGTGAGCACAAAGTCGATTTGAAACGACATCTTTGCATTAAAAGGACATTAGGGCCTTTCAGATAGGACGCAGTGTGTGCTGTGCTCGAAGCGGAGTGGAGTAGAGCGCAGAGCAGAAGGGGAGCGCACACTAGTTGAAAGCAGCGGCGCATATTGTTCGGTGACTGAAACAGTAGTCGGGAAAATAGCTGCTTTTTGGATGCACAGGATGTCTGATCTTTCTGCTGCTGAGGAGAAGCTCCAGGAGAGACGAGCTGAGGTCTTGCTTGTCAGCTCGTCTGCTCGTGCATGTAAGTGAGGGGGCGTGGCTTTTGAGGGAGCACAGAGGGGAGGGGACGGGTGCAGACAGAGCACTGAGGGAATGCTACTTTCAAAATCATGCTAGTTTTCAAAAATTAACAACCCTGCCTTTAACTACTTCGGTAAATGCACCAGCTGCATCATGCATGCCACAGGAGAGGATTAGGACCAATAATAAACAAATAAGCAATGAGAGGAGGAAGATTTCTTTTCCATCGTGCACCTCGAGAATAATTTGAAATGTCAAGAAAAAGAGGCCTTGAAAAAAAGAGGCTGAAATTAAAGCTGTGTTACTATTCTGAGATAACGAGATTTATAAGTCAAGATCTCGAAAAATCAATCAAAACGATCACATGCAGTAAGGTAAAGTAAAATGTGAGTGTATGTCCACTCAGGGCTTCCGTAGCCAACAGCGTGTGTGAATTCAACGCCCTTCTTTAAATGGACGTGTTGAAATTAAGTCTTCATATTCATGCTGCCTCCCACGTATATTTCAGCTCCTCTCTATACAACTTTTTTCTCTATTCAGGAGGCAGAGCTGACACAATAGAGCACACACACACACACACACACACACACACACACACACACACACACAAACACTCTCTCTCTCTCGCTCTCACACACACACGTGCACACTTACATTCATACATTCACAAAGCATCTGTCACTTTCCCATGCTCACTGCCACTCTCTTTCACACACACACACACACACACACACACACACACACACACACACACACACACACACACACACACACTTCTATTCATGCAGGACTTTCAGTGATATAATGTTTTTTAGTTTCCCTTCAAAAGAACGTCAACTAAAGTTTTGTCTCTTAAGGTGCGTCCAAGTCTATTTCAAGTTTCGAGTAGATTGAGCAAAATCGCTCAGACGAGTCAAGTTGCTAGCTCTTCAAAAATAACTTTTTAAGTCAGCTGTGACAGGTCCAAGTCTCTCAAGTCATTTCAGGCAAGTACAAAATTAATGTCAAGCCATCGGAAAATAGTCCAAAGTAATTTACTATTGTTTTCCTCAGGTACAGCGCTTGCCGGGCGCTCTTCTCTGCTGATGCATGCTGAGTTTTCTTACAGTTTTTATGTGCGCATAAAAGTAAAAAAAAGAGTCCCAGCGCTCGATGTCACTTTGGGCAGAAGTAGCCAATCAAACAGCAGGCTTTCCTTCCGCTATTAATTCATTTCCCTCCTCTTCGTCTCAAAGCAAAGCAACAGCAAGAGCTCTACGTTCGCTTCAATCAGTTTTTACCCCAATTACTTTATTTGCTCACCTGCAAGAACACCCAGCCACAGGTGCTCCCAGCTGTTTTGACCCCAGTTCTTCTTGTTTCTGTAGAGGCAAAGCCCAGCATGACAGGTCTCTGTGTGTTCAGGCTCAACGTCTTTAGCCGAGCCTGAAGTGGACAGTCGTATCTCGTCCAAGTCATGTCTCGAGTAAGCTCCTGATTAGTCAAATCACTCATAAGTGATGTTTCACATAACTCAGCTGAAGTCTTACTGCGGGGTCAGAGTGATGGCTCTGTTTTCATTTCGTTGTTCATGTTGTCAGATTTTTATTCTTGAGTATCTCATGCATCAAGAATCTATAGAACAGAAGGCTCGCCTATTTTTACAACCGATGTGTGAACGCAGCAGGTAAAAGTTTAGAGCATGTGATCTCACTGTGGGCGAGTGGGAGGGGTGAGGATGTAGCGTGATGTCATTATATTTTCCTTCACTGTTGTGTTTGTTAAAGGTCCCATATTATGCTTTTTCTGGTTTTATATGCCCTTTAGTGTGTTTTGCAAGTGTCCTGTGCATGTTTAGGCACATCTATGTGAAAAAATTCAAAGTCTACGGAAACGCAGCTTCTCCTACATCCTCCTGTTAGCTGTAGCATTAGCCGCATGTAACGCTCGGTTCTAGTCCCCCTCGATAAAAATCTGTCAGTCCGACGTCATTGTCAGTCTGAGATCACTGATCTAAGCCCATTGGCTCGTTGTGGCAAGCCCAGCAGCTCATGTTGAAATTTCCGAGACGCGTGCTGAGCAACTGACCAATAACGACAGAGCGGATCGGCAGACCAATCAGAGCAGACTTGGCCCACGTGGGGTCTAACAGTGTGGGCTCAACAGAGTGTAGCTGACGGACTCGGGCGTAGAGGGAGCAAGGAGGAGCAGTACATGAAAACAGACACTTTTTTCGGACTTTAGCTATTGTGAACATACAAAAGTAGGTACATAGATTAAATATACAAACCCCAAAAAGGGCAGAATATGACCTCTTTAATGTACTGATATTAAATATGTTATGACTTATTGCATCGGGCTAAGATGACACCACCTACTGCCTACAACTTCATCTTTATTTTATTGATCATAGTTCTGCCCGACGCTCGTTTCGTATGTGTTTGTTTACATCCTGGTAGAAGAGCGGCTGCTGGTTTCAGCCTTGACCAACTGCAGGCCGCTGTGAAACATTTTGAGTTCATATCTTGACCTGCATTGTTGGCCTACAATTTGAAATATCACAGAATATATATTCACAGGCGATCCATTATAAACCGTAGTCATAGCATTGTGTACTCAGCGCCTTAACCATAGACTGACTAAGGAGTAAACCAGTGCTTCCCAA